TTTTTTCAGTTAGGCTCCATGCCCATTGTGGGGTTTGAGCTCGTGACCCTAAGATCGGGAGTTACATTCTTTTCCAACTGAGCCAGCCGGGTGCCCCTCAAAATTAGTTTGTTTGTTTTTAAAACTTTTTAAGTTTATTTATTTTGAGAGAGACAGAAAGACGGGCAGTGAGAGAGGGAGAGAAAGAATCCCAAGCAGGCTCTGCACTGTCAGTGTGGTACCCAACACAGGGCTTGATCCCACGAACTGTGAGATGATGTCCTGAACTGAAATCAAGAGTCGGACACTTAACCAACTGAGCCACCCAGGTGCCCCTCAAAATTAGTTTTGAGTTGAGACATCTGGCTGGCTCAGTCAGAGCATGTGACTTGTGATCTCAGCGTCATGAGTTCAAGCCCCATGTTAAGCATAGAACTTACTTAAAAAAAAAGAAAGAAAAAAATGAATTTTGACTTGCTAAATGCTTATGAGGCCTTCAAATGGAGATGTCACTGAGCTAGATGGAATTATGAATCTGGTATGCAGGAAAGAAGTCAGGGCTGGAGACCTGCATGTGGGAGTTCTCAGCATGCATGTGTTATTTAAAAGCATGGAACTGGATGAGATGACTGTGGAAAAGAGTTGTAGGTGGAGAAGTGATCTGAGTTAAGGAAGTAATGACCACAACTAATGACAACTCTTTCAAGAAGTTTTGTATAAAAAGGAAGAGAGATAATACTATGAATAACCTTGCATACTAGTTCCCATTCCACACTTAAAATATGATATTTCTAATCTTCGTATCTGTCTTGCCAAGTAAGTATTATTAATCCCCTTTGTTTCTGATGAGAAAACTAAGGACTGAAATGACTTATCCAAGTTCATACAGATAGGAAGAAATTGTAAACCCAAGATTCAAACTTAGTTCTATCTAGCACAGTCACCGTGTTTTCTAAACCAAAAGTCATAACTTACAGCCAGATACAGGATTTTTTTCTTATTTTTGTATTTATTTATATGGAAATATGTATAAATTTGTAACAATTAAATCAAAGTTAATTATACATGTGATAAATCTTGGCTAATTTTTTTTAGAAATGCAATTAGAATAGTCCCATCATTTCTGGGTTGTTTCATATTTATAAGCAGAACAACAGAAAGCTGGGGGAACACTTGTGTTTTAACTTGACAGGCATGTCTTTGTTTTAAATAGATGCTGCTGTTCTCAACAATGTAGCACATACATTTGGCCTGATGGACACAGTAAAGAAGGTTTTGGACAACAGAAGGAACCAAGTAGAGCAGGGAGAAGAGCAGTTTCTCTACACTCTGACAGGTGTGTATAACTTCTGTCTCTTCTTAGATGATATTATACTAATATCCTTGAATCTTGCCATTTCTTTTTGGACTTCTGTTGGGACTGGCTTCTTTTCTTTCTTCCTCCTTCTGTATCTTTTGGAGGATTAAGATGTCTGCTCAATTTCTCCATTAATCCAATAACATTAGTGGCAGAAGAAACAAATTGGCCTTTGTCTTTGTTACATTATTGATACTGCATCTTTTGATAAATATAAATTTAGCACCTTCTCCATTATTTGCAGTAATCAGAACTTATGAACACATAAATAATTTAACTCTTTTTATCAAGTAATTAATTTGTGCTAGTGCCAGACTAGGTTTTAGAAATATCATGTTGACTGAGACAGCCCCACTCTCCACATGGTCTTTAAGTAATTCAAGGAATTATCAGTAGTAACTGAGGCATATAGTGGGTATGGTAGAAGAAGAAAGGGAGCTGTCACTTATACCTGGAGAGAATTAAGAAAAGGTTTTGGGGAGGTAAGGCAGGTGAAAAATATAAAACAAGTCAGAGGTATGGATTATCACCCTTTGAATGATGTAAGATATATTACTGTCATGAAGCCAAAAGGCAAAAGATTATTCAGCAAGAGAAGAACAATTTATGTTGTCTTAAATTTATTTTTATATTATAAAATATACGTTAAATATTTTTTTTTTCAACGTTTATTTATTTTTGGGACAGA